ATTTTCCACTTTCACCCCTGTTACACACTGACCTGGGTTTCAGTTGATGCCATTCCTACTATTAACCTCTTCACTTTTCTGTCGCACTAAATAACTTTGTGTTTTGATCATAACCAGTCAAATCAAATCAAATCAAATCACAATGCAACTTATAGATCACAGAACAAAAGTGAGCACTAAAATTTAGGATGACTTCAAAAAGTAGGTTTTAACCATGTAAAACACCACATTTAAAATCATAATCTTCAAAGTGAACAAGCTAGGCTGAAATAACTCTGCTGAAAACTTTCTCACAATATTCCAAAATTGCTTGTGGAAGAAAAATACAAAAACAGTAAACCTGATAACAAGATTAAATCTGTTTTAAGTCACCTAGGACAATCCAACTTAAATGAAAAGAGCTACTCCATAGATAGCTTCCCAAACAAACTGATTCAGATCTCATAATAATGAAAAAGTCATTGATGACTTTGATTCATCAATCGCTTCAGAACAAGATACTTGTCCATCTTTTAATGAATTTCTAACTACTCAAATCTATGATGACCACAAATTCTTCAAATTTCAGTTATTCAGAGATTATCATTCAGTGTATCCATGTTCAAAACACACAAAGTTCAAGAAGCTGAAACAACATGATGCCTAACATCTTCTCAGAAAACAAAAATTTGTTTCCATAACATAATCTCCAACCATTACTGCTTAAATTGACCCATCAACTAGCTACAGAAGAAAATATTCCTCTGATGAATTTGTATTTTGCTCTTCTAGAGAGATCTCAAGATGGCTCAAAAGAGAAAAGGATATGAGAATTCATGCATGTTCCTTGATCAATTTCGGCAATGACAATAACATCATAGGCACATAAAGGATTTCAATAATTCCTCGATAATAAATCGCCATAGAATTACACAAAATATGCTATCTACTGGAAGAGAAGTAAATCCCAAACCAGCAAGTGCTACTTTTAAAACACAAAACAAGAGGATTTGAAGAGACATCCCTCCTCATCGAGTGCACTTGGGAATCACCCACTGGAAACAGACATTCAATCATGAAATCAACATGATGAAACAAACATGTCCTACTCGATGCTTTCTTGTCACGAGTAAGTAATATTTGTGAAATGATAAAAATCGTTCTATAAGAAAAATACAAACAAACCAGGAATGGAGAGGAAAAATTCAGCCTCAAAAAGAAGAAAGATTTAGTTACCTTAGGCAGATCATTTCCTCTGCTGTTTGTTTCAAAAGTCTGAGAGAGCGATGGAACAAACCGACGAAAAAAATTCAACATGAAACTTAAATACAACTTATAACAAACAGGGCGTTGTTTCTAACACGTACATGTATTTCAGACAGAAAATTTCGTGCGACGTTCTGTTTTCATCTTATGTTGAAAGGAGGCAAAAGAGAAAGGGAAAGGTTTTCGCTGGGATTAATGAAGATTACCATACCGTTTCTTAACTGAAAATACTTCAAAATCATGGCCACTCGATGTTCTGTGTGCGACACGCAACGCATCGATAGCAAAGAAATTGTATTGTTACGTTGTTACCACGCAAGTTCTTTCCTTCTCGTTCGTTTGGCACAGAAATCTACTCTTTCTTCCCTTCACACCAGTGTTCAATCATTCAATTACAGAACCTTCGCGCGATCTGGGATACATACATGCACGTTTCGATCAAAAAGACAAAGAAAATATGGCGTCCAAAGTGTGGGATAATTTGCAAGAGGAATTTACCTCGTTGTCTGTTCGTGACCAAAGAATGAAACGGCGGTTGTTCCATGAAGGCTTCCGATATGGCCTACAGAAATGGACGACGGCTGAAAATGGTGGGTAAAATGTTCTCCAAACATCACTGGTCTCTTTCTTTCGTCTACACTTGAGAGAATATCGACTTCTTCGTCGCTATCTGAATCATTATCCGCCATTTAGTTCGCTGTGGAATAGTCGAAGCAGCTTTGTCCAGTAAACTCGCTTCAAAGACACCGCTTGATTCGAGGGCTGTACCCATGTTAGAAAATGGGGGCTGAGATTGGCAAAGAACTAAAGGAGAGCGAAAAGCCTCCGAAAACCGTTTAAAATGGAAAGCAAGATCTATTCGAAGAGAGAAGGGTCACAAGACTAATCTCTTAACCACGTGTTTCGATGTGAAAGAAACCACGGCTGAAAGGAACCAAAATTGTTCAAAAAGGGGGTAATGGGGCCAGGGAATACCCATGCGATGCGTCGACCATCGAAGAAGCGAAAATACATCGAAATCAAACATTCGGCAAGAAAGCTAAAACTACAGGCAACAACAGATGTTTCCTTGACACATACCGCGTGCTTCACGAATGAAGGAATCCACAGAAAGAGATCGGGAACTGTAAAGGCGATTTCCCCCCACAAAAAGGCGTCGATAAAGGCTTGAAGAAGCAGAAAAATATGGCTACCAAACCCTTCGAACGAAGAATGAACTAAAAAGCCCAACAAAATTACGGCAAATCCATGCCACTTCAGGGCCCCTCTACACTACCAGGACTTCACTTAAACAACACAGAAACTTGATAGAGTAAAACATTTATATAAAAACGTCATCAACAGCGCAAAAATAAGAATTTATCACGAGCAAATGGCTTACTTTGTTCCCTCTCTGACTCCATCTTGGTAAACGTGCCGCTCCCTTCTCGCTGCTGGTCTTTGTCTGGTGACGCAATGCACTCTGGGCTGCTATCCATTTGCGCATGTCCTGAGGAGTCAAGTATCTCCTCAGCCAATCACGTAAAGCGTTTCTGTTATTGTTCCCATTTTCATTTCGACCCGTCTGTTTAGTTTCAGTATTTCGTACCCTCCTTTTATTAATAAGGGTCCTCAGTGGCATGGCCACCAATCTTGTCAAGGGTAAAACTTTGTTATATAAACTAACGATAAAAACGATAAAAAGGAACTACATTTCGATATGTTCGAGGTCATTTTTATTTTCTAGTAAATAAAAGATAAAATTGGAATATAAATGTCTTAGTTAAAAAAAAAAGAAAAGAAAAGAAAAGAAACGGGATGAGAATGGAAAAAGCACGTGATCAAAGGCAAATTATTCATTTGTTTAATTTCGTGTGGATTGAGAAACAATGTTTGTTAATCATATTGATCTCAGTTCCTTAATAAAAAGAATTTTAAAAGTGAGACAATCAAGTTTGCTCTGGCATTTTCTAAAAGATGTGAAACTTCGTAGCCGGAATTTATCGGGGTCCATGTCATTCTCCCCACTGAGATGGTCTTAAATCAAGGGTAAAATTATAAAGAAAAAAAAGAATGGATACATTTCACGACAAACCATCCTTCATCGGTCAAAGGCAAGGTGCCTCTTTGATACACTGCTCATGGCATATTTATTTCCTTTCTTCAGGGAAAACACCATGTATATAGAATAACACACTTAGGGTAACTAAAACTTTCAGCTAAACTCTTTGATAATTTTATGACTAGACGAATATAAAAATTTTCCCCTTACTCTTTCTACCTCAGCACAATACGGTGGTTCGCAGGCTTTAGTAGACTCTTTGAATGATGATGTTAACTTTCACAAGGAAGAGGTTTATGATAGGAGAGGGATTTTAACAGATAAGGCATAGATATGGTTTCTGTAATGCATTATTTGAAAGGGTTTAGCGGTTGATTGTTCCACTACTTCCGGTATTTTATGGAGTTTTTCTATAGAAAATTTGTTTAGATCTCTCATTTATTTGCAAAAAGCGCTTCAGTAGTAAGAGGAATCCGAAAAAAAAATTTCTTAGAATTTTCGCCAGACGACATTCTTTGTCTGACGACATTCTTTGTCTGGGTCACATTTGCGAAGTCGTGACTTAAGGGCAAAAACAAATCAGAAAAATCGAGATAGAGAAAAGATCTGGTTTCTTTTTTTGTATGTCCTTATGTCTATATTGTTATGTTACAGTTACATTATTTTGTCAACCCACGATCAGGCGTGCACTATGATAACGTTAGGGCACGTGCGACTAAACGACGGGTCTGAAGACTAGACCCCTCACAGACCTCTCGCACGCTCACATCGCTCGCTGACTTGAGCCTCTCGTTTGGCAGAATGCTCATAGCCTATTACTATGTCTCCAAGATGACAAGTTGTGTCGAAGAAATCAGATCGGTTGATGATGTTTAAACAAACCACCTTTTCATTAATAAATTGTTCGCAGTTTTGAATCGTAAGGTATACCATCGTAATGCATATTGGTTTATTTTCCAAATTCGAGTCCGTCTTAGAAAACTAACTCAAATTTCAGCTTGCGAGCAAGTTCTCATTGGCGCTTACATCGCTAGCCTACGTGTAGCCGTACCCTTCCCCCCCCCATCAAGGTGAAGCGAGGGAACGTCTTTAATCGTGTTCTGTGACGTACTCTAATTTATGCAAAATTATGTAACTTGTTGTTTTCACGCTTCCGTTTCACCTTGCGGGGGAGGGTACGGCTATACGTAGCCTATCACATCTCCCGCGGGCCCCAAATACGAAGACCTCTTCGCTCATGCGCAGCGTCAATGGGAACGTTTTTGCAAGCTGAAGTACTTAAATTTGTGCCCCGATTATCAGTAACCCGTGACAATGAGAACATTTTACGTCGAGCAACATTTACGGAGTTAAAGTTTAATGCAACTACAGTTAAGATTATGAGACCATTTATAGATATTTACAAAACCGTTATACTTGTTGCAGGATGCTTTTTACGTTTACTTCTATATTACATAATTTTCTCGAGTCACTTATCACTTCAAGCGGGACCCACAATGAATATGACAACGATCATACGCGCTGCTCAATAGCTCATTCAGTCAGAACTTCACTGAAAATGAAAATTTTCCTTCACCCTGCTTATTCCTGTTATTTTTCCCGCTTTTAATCCGCGATGAGAAAACTTGAGGCTCTGCAGTCAAGGTTGAAAATTCTCTAACTTACTACGTCGTTATCAGTGCCACTGACGGAAGGCTTGCACGGTCTTCCTCTGTCAGTCTCTCCATTCTAGGGAATCTGGAGTTTATTCAAAAAGTACAAAGATCGTTAGATAAGATGGAGTTTCTATGGAATTTAATAAAAATAAAATAAAAAAATTGGTGTGTATGTTCGCAAGCAACTAACTTAACATGCTTCCTCACTTTGAATGCCAGGTAAGCAAATAAATTTGTTTTCGAAATGATCTAAACGGCATTTGTTGATCATCTTTATATAAATTAAAGTGATCTACTGCCAGAAGAAAATTGCACACCTCGTTGGAAAGGCGTAAAGATACTAAATCAGTCCTTTGTGTCAGGGGGCTTCCAGTTAAAAGTGAGCCAGTGTTGCTCGGCTGAGAGATTATGACAAGGTCCAACACTTACCAGGTATATATGTGTAAAGGCCGCTACCGCCATTATTATTATCATCATCTTCCACATGATCATCGTCATCATTACCGTCATCATCCTCATCACCGCCATCGGCATCATCATCATCGTCATCGTCATCATCATCACCGCCATTGGCATCATCCTCATCATGGTCATCCTCTTCATCATCGTCGTCAACATCATCATCGTCATTGTTGTCGTCACCACCACTGTCATTGCTATCGTCGTCAATGTCATCATCATCATCACTACCGTCACCGTCGTCACTATCACCCCCGCCACCGTCATGACCGTCGCGAACGATCACTATCACTGCTATCACTAACCTATTATTCATCCCCGTTATAACGATTATGATTATCATTTTCTTCACGATCACAGTTATGCCGCCAGAGCTAATAACTAGTCTTTTTGGTTGTTAGATGGTGCTCATGACAAGCCTATACAGGAAGAAAAGAAGAGAAAAAAAAAAAAGGAAAATTGTTAGGAACTAAGAAAAAACGCTAAGTAAAAGCCTCACTCTTGATTTTTGAGACAAAACGGAACATACCTCCTAAGTAATTTTCGCATCAAACACTGTTCCTTCTTAATTATATAAAAGGTATAAATATTAAGATTTGGCCACATAAATGGCACGAAATTAAATATTTCACAACATAATCTGACCGAAAGCCAATCGAATGGCACGTACAGCAAATTACCTCGGGGCAAGTGGGACAATAAGGCCAACCAGGGCGATTTTTGAGTTTGAACACTAATGGCCAAGTTTAGATTTTGGTTTTAGGACTGATTTCGTCATTCCTGAATAACTCAGGTATCGTATTTTGCAGCTTGCTCGCTTCGCAAAATTTGGACATCAGTTAGGTCATAATTGGGTCAAGATTGGAATTCTATTGTAACAGTTACAGCCTGTTTTCGTACTTCTTGACGTTTTTTAAAAACAAATTACGGCTCAAAGGAGAGAAGTCTTTGTCAGCGGAGATGGAAATTGTTTTCACCGAGCTGTTGCTCGTAGGAGGGATGAAATAGGCGATGAGAAACACGAGGAGATCAGGAGGTGGAGTCGCTGTTTGTTTCAGAAAAATCCAAAGGTTTTTGAGCAGCGACTCTTCGCTATTTTCAACTACAAAAACAGTCACGGTTTCTAGAACACTAAAATTTTCTACAGTGGTTTCTTCGGCCGATCTAACTGAGTCTGAATCATGGCAGACTGTGACTGCACAACTCCTTTCAATGCATTTTTCATTTCATTTCATTTCATTTTATTTTTATTTAAACACGGTCAATTCATCAGCCTAAAAAATACATATCACATACGCTAGAATATTTAAAACTCAAACTATATACTATAACACTAAAAGCTGTTTTCCGTGAGTGCCGTGCGTTAGACTTAAAGAATGTCATTGATCTTTCGTTTAAATACCCCCAGAGACTCTGTGTTCCTTATATCGCATGGTAGACTGTTCCATAATGTGGCGCCATTGTAGCTAAAGCTTTTTCGGTAATAATTAGTGCGCGGTAATGGAACATTGAGCTTATTTTCAGAGTCCCTGAGGTCATAAGCAGAGTCACGCCACGTAAACTTTGAACAGACATCTAGACATCATGGTGGCTTTGTGAATTTCCTGCTGGCGTGTAAGATTTTTCCACCTTAAAAACTCGAGTAGCTCAGTTGCATCAGCATCATAGTTAGAGAATGTCAACACACGGGCTGCTCTATTCTGCAATTTCTGCAGTTTGTCTCGTAGCGTTTTCCCACAGTTACCCCAAACAATGTCACAGTAATCAAAGTGAGGTTTTACTAAGGCTTGGTAAACGAGATGTAAGGTTGATGCTGGGATCAGGTGCCTAATTCGCTTTAGGGCCCCGATACCAGAGGCGATCTTTTTGGTTAATTTTTCGATGTGACTATGCCAATCGAGTTTATCATCTATTATTACACCAAGCGATTTCGTAGCCGTAACCTGGCTCACCATAGTATTGTTCATTGTAATTGTTGGTGAAGCTGTGAGAGTATTCAGTCTCTGCCTCGACCCTATTAGCATGAATTCGGTTTTGGTCATGTTCAATGTAAGTTTGTTTGCTTGTAGCCGGTTGAAAACGTTTGCTAGGTCTTCATTTAGACAAAACTGAACATTCTCAAGATTACTGCCCGCATATGTAAGGTGCGTGTCGTCAGCGTACATTCTTGGTTTACAATTTGATAAGCAATTTGGAAGATCGTTAATATATAATAAGAACAATAATGGACCGAGGATGGTCCCTTGAGGGACGCCGCATGTCAGTGAGTAGCTATTGGAAAGCGACCCGTTCACAGAGCATTTTTGAGAGCGGTTTTCTAGATATGACTGAAACCATTTGAAAGATTTGCCATGTATACCATAATAGTTTAGTTTCGATAGAAGAATCTGATGATCAACAGTGTCAGAGGCTTTCTTCAAATCCAGAAAAATGACTCCATTGATTTTCCTGTTATCAATGTCATATGCCCAAGAATCTGTCGCTTCCAACAAAGCTGTTACAATTGAATGATTAGCACGAAAACCTGACTGATTTTGACATAGAATATCGTGCTCTTTCAAATAGGCATAAAACTGTTCATAAACTATCCTTTCAAACGCCTTCGCCACAATTGGAATCACCGATATCGGGCGGTAATTGTTTACATCACCGCGGTTACCCTGTTTATAAAGAGGGGAAACCCTTGCATATTTCCAGTCATCTGGGAACGTCCCTTGATAGATTGATTGAAAATATCACATATCGGCATACAAATAAGATCAGCACATTCCCTGACCAACCTAGCAAATATTTTGTCAAGGCCCGTTGCCTTTGACTTGTCTAGTTTATTTAAAAGTGAAAATACTTTATTTGGATTGATGGGTTGGAGCTTAAACCGTTTATCTGTAGCGGTAAGATATCTTTGATAGCTACCACTATCGCAATTTATCTCACTGGCAAGTTTTGGACCAATATTAGCAAAGTGGTTATTGAATTCGTTTGATAGCTCCAACGGATTAGTTATCGTTAATCCGTTCACTTTTAGTGACGCCACTGACGTTTTCCCAGATTTTCGAGAGGTTAGCTCGTTTATAGTCTGCCAGGTCTTTCGGGAGTCGCTGGTGTGCTTATTAAAACTATTTTGGTAATAAACTAGCTTAGCTGAGCGTATTTGCTTATTGGTTATATTTCTTTGTTTCTTAAATAATGTCCAATCATTAGGATCATTTTTCTTGCTAGCTTTGATTTTTAATATGTCTCTATTATGCATAGAGTCTTTCAATGCTACGCTCAGAGGCTAGTGCATCCCACGAAATCGCTTTTAGGCCTCTTGTTGATCTTTCATTCCCTAAAATGAATGGGCCTTTGTTAGCGAGTGTTCCAAAAAAAGCCTATTCCAGAAACGGAAATTGTGCATCGCTGTGATCGTCGAAGGTCATTTGAGAGACCGGGCGAGAATATTCTTGAAATAATCGCATTGAAACTTTCGTCGTTTACCCAGATAAAGAGGTAGCAGTGTGGTTAATTTTCACAGAACTACCCAAATTAACTTCCCCACTGCTAATTGTATCTCACAATATGATAGTTAAAAGCAAAATAGGGGTAAGATCGATCGCGTGATTATTGAAGACAAAAATTAAAATTGCGCGCGCATTATCTATAAGTTTCTTAGTCTTGAATATGATACACCATCTCCCTCAAACCGCAATTGACCTCTTCGTTCCTAGTATTAATAGAAATTTATTCAAACAGAGTTCCTTATGAGAAATCGTTATGATTTGGCATATGTATCAAAAGCTGTAAAACAGAACCAGCACCCAAGAATTTCATGACAATAGGAAACTGATAGATAGCTAGATAGGAAAGTTAACTCAGTCTGCCGCGGGTATTTTGCAAAAAAAGCAATGGATTGTCCACGTTGTTGTGGTCGCTCAATAATGTTTGTCTGAGAGCAAGAACACAGTTGGTCCATAATAGTCCGACCTAAACTTTCGTCGTTTCTTTGGTAAAGAGATATTTACCTAGTTAAATTTTCATATAAATATCCTCTGATAGTTAGACGCAAAATGAGAATAAAATTGATCCCGTGATCATCGAAAACAGAAATGGAAAATTGCGTGCGCATTACAAGATTACATAGTCATTGTTTTCAGTTCTCGAACACAATGCACAAGCTAATGAAGTCTGCGTTTACTGGAATTATCTTTTCCTTTTCGATGTAAAAGTGTGCGAGTTTGTTATCTGAACTACATATTGAATAGTCACATGCTTGGCTCAGACGAAAATTTAAGTTAACTGTTTTCGGCCTGTAACGATAGCTACTTTGTTCACAGATAGCGTCGCCAGCTTAACAGGCACAAAACTGACACGAACTGTATACTAACAGTTAAAAGTGTATTTCAAGTCTTACCAGAAAGGAATGTAGCTTTCATTCTCTGATAATATACCTTTTGGATGATTTCGAATGTCATGAAGTCTTCTTCCTTTTCGATGTCCGAATTACTCTGTCATGTCGTTTATTAAATTTGGATGACTAAGCCACTGCCACTTCCGGTGCATGTGCACGGGTCTTAAAAGGGGGGGAGGGGAGGGGGGAAGGTAAACATTGATGGCCAAAGGCCAATTTGTCGGAAAATACTTCTTCGACGAGTCTAAGTTAATATTCATTGGGTAAAATGCCAAATTTTAGTGTCATTTAAGTAAAATTAAACAACTATTAAATCCAACGACAAATTTAAGCCATGTTTACTAAACTTAAACATGACTGAAAACTGTACCTTTGTTTAAGCGAGGTTTAAGCATTCTTAAATGCAAATTAAATCGACATTGAGATTTAAGCTATGTTTAAGTCATTTTAACCGTACTTAAATCCGTTGAAAGATTTAGGGTTACTTTAAACCACCTTAAATACAACGTTAAACCTATTGGGGAGATTTAAGGTCTAGTTAAAGGAGCCTTAAATACAACATTAAATTTATCATAATATTTATGCCGTGTTTAAGGACCTTCAAAACACATCAAATCTTTTGGTGTACACCAAGTCTACTTTCTTGACATAATCTCTCACCAGAACCAGAAACCATGCGAGAACAGCCTCCAGCAACCTTCAATGAATTAATCATAGATTAATATTATGTATTTAGTAAAGCCACAATATTTTACGCTACTGATTTTATTGCTTTTTCAATTCTTTGGGTAATGAAATTGTTTGTTGATTGTGAACCTGAGACTTGATTTCTTGTGTTGGAAACTGTTTCACTAAAGAAAGGTAGTTGCACAGGGAATTTGACTAACCTGAGCAAATAAGGTACGTTTCTTCAAAACCATATAATTTTA